CTCCACTATGGTCAAGACCAAAGAGCTGTTGAAGGACACCAGAAACAAAATTGTAGACCTGGGAAGACTGAATCTGCAATAGGCAAGCAGCTTGGTGTGAAGAAATCAACTGTGCGAGTAATAATTAGAAAATAGAAGACATACAAGACCACTGATAATCTCCCTTGATCTGGGGCTCCATGTAAGATCTCACCCTGTGGGGTCAAAATGATCACAAGAACGGTGAGCAAAAATCCCAGAACCACACGGGGGGACCTAGTGAATGACCTGCAGAGAGCTGGGACCAAAGTAACAAAGGCTACCATCAGTAACACACTATGCCGCCAGGGACTCAAATCCTATTTTCTAATTATTACTCGCACAGTTGATTCCTGGTTAAGATACAAAGCTAAATTAGCACCAGAATTGACATCAGTTACTCTAACCTGGTTAAGATACAAAGCTAAATTAGCACCAGAATTGACATCAGTTACTCTAACCTGGTTAAGATACAAAGCTAAATTAGCACCAGAATTGACATCAGTTACTCTAACCTGGTTAAGATACAAAGCTAAATTAGCACCAGAATTGACATCAGTTACTCTAACCTGGTTAAGATACAAAGCTAAATTAGCACCAGAATTGACATCAGTTACTCTAACCTGGTTAAGATACAAAGCTAAATTAGCACCAGAATTGACATCAGTTACTCTAACCTGGTTAAGATACAAAGCTAAATTAGCACCAGAATTGACATCAGTTACTCTAACCTGGTTAAGATACAAAGCTAAATTAGCACCAGAATTGACATCAGTTACTCTAACCTGGTTAAGATACAAAGCTAAATTAGCACCAGAATTGACATCAGTTACTCTAACCTGGTTAAGATACAAAGCTAAATTAGCACCAGAATTGACATCAGTTACTCTAATCATCTTTTTAAGTGGGAGAACTTGCACAATTGGTGGCTGACTAAATACTTTTTTGCCCCACTATATTTATTCCATCTAAACTAAGCAAGGTTACCAATACCAGGTCCTATCTCAACCAGGATTTCTAAGTCTGCTTCAAACCCTGGTTAAGATACAAAGCTAAATTAGCACCAGAATTGACATCAGTTACTCTAAACTATCTTTAAAGTGGCATGGGAGGGGGAGGGATAAAAATTCATATATAAGAGAGGGAAAGAAAGAACCCATTTCTGAGACTGGCTCCTGATATGCCAACTATGATTTACTAATTACTAGCAGCATTAAATTGTCATCAAGGGCATTTCAGCACATTAAAAAAAGGATTTAAAAAGTTACACAGTTTGACTGCAGGATTGTTCTCTTTTTAAAGCCAAACTATTTGCAATTTGTAGTATGGAGTGATACTACAAAAATTCCCCTCAATATGGAACTTCTGTTCAATATATTAACAGAAGTATGATTCTCATAAATGTGATGTTCATCAAACACAGCAGTGCCATAAATGAATGCCTGAAAAATTCAGGCTTGCTGCAAAGTCCACTGCCGTCTTCACAACACACAATCTATTGATTTTATTATTTATTCTGCCTACCAAACATTAGCCTACTGATTAGCTACAGTATTTGCAATTTACTTTGTTTTCATGGAGGAACGCTTCCTGAACTCCCAAGATCACTGCGGAAGCACTGAATCAATAATGAGGACAGGAAACAGGTGTACAGACATCCCCATAAAAAATTACTGGGGAGTGAGACTCCTCCAGCTGCAGGTATCTAGCTCCATTGTTCAAAAATCTATTTTAGCAATGACATTTCTCTTCCGTTTTTATGTCTGTCTGTTAGAATCACAAACAGGAAGGGGCCACTGAGCCCAACTCCTTTGCTCAATGCAGCAATGCAAATTAAAGCATCCCTGAAAAATCCACCTTCTGCCTGAACACCTCAAGCAAAAGGGCGCCAGTATTCCACGGCTGACCTGCTCTCACTGGTATGAAGGTTTTCCTAGCATTCAACAGGAATGAGATAACAGAAAACGAATCACGTCCATCTGCAATGTGACACAACTTCAGCAAAGAGAAGACAAGTGGGACAATATAATACCTTCCTTCCAGCATGGGTGGGAATGTGGTTTACTTCTGGCATTATACCAGATCAGCTGCCGGCAGCCGTCATAAGCACAGGAGTATTCATCATCCCCGATACCATAACCTTCCTTCAGGAAATAAAAAAATACAGCATTCATTTTCTTGAAAATCTTTGTTCTTCTTTAAAGTGAATTTTAACAACTGTTTTGCATTACTGTGGACCTATAAGGGGGTTAATACATTCCTTTCTAGCACATGGGAGCCCCAGTTAGTGTAGAGCAGGGAGTTTCAAACTATTGCAGGCTGTGGAACCACTTCATTAAAAAACAAAACACCTGGAACTTCTGATCAAGAGGCAAACCTCTAGTGATAGAAAACTGGCTGCATCTCAGTGGACTTCTTTTCTAATCCTTACTCTCATGAAATTGGATCAAGTTTTTGTGGATCCTAGGTTTTTGTAGAGGACGGCAGAGACAACACTGACAAAGAAATGAAGGCAAGAACTGTTAGCAGAATCATTAAGAGATAATAAAGGAGAAACAACAGTTCAGTCCTGGGAAAGGAGGGAGGGTGAGAAAGAGACTCAAGATGACCCCACCTTGATTCTCTTTGGTATAAGAGGGGACAGAGGCAAACTCTGGCAGGCTTTCAAGATTCTGTTATTACACCCAAAAACAACAGTTCCAGTATGCTGTCTGTTTCCTAACGTGGCCTATCTTGAAGTGCTGATGTTTGACGAGAATTCAGATCTGAATACCTGTTTCACCATGCTGGACATATAGCGTTGAGAGAAAACGTATGAACCCTTTAGAACTCTCTGTAAACCTGCATTCCTGTGCCCTACAATGTGATCAGAGCTTCATCTAGTCCTTCCATTGAAGAGATTCCAGTTCAACAGAAAAACACCTCAAACAGTGCACTGTGTCATGTCTTTATGGAACACACAGAACTAACGTTCACTGACTTTGGTAGAAAAATTGCACCAAGGCCTAGGATAATCAGCTCTCTTAAGCTGAGTCAGAGGTTCTAATCAATAAGACGACAATCAAATGTAGTCGGAGCATGCCCTCTCCTATTAAACACACACACACACACCCCACTGGAGTCTGCTCTTCACAATACAGGTTTGCAGAAGTGAATCATGTCCCAATCAAGAGTGATGTTTGCAGACCTCAGAAAAAGGACTGTGGATGGCCATGAAGCTGGAAAGGGCTATAAAACTCCTGCCAGAGGATAGTGTGCAATCCGCTATGTGAATGTGGCATCACTGTCGCTCAATCCAAGAATGGAACCTGTTAGTTTAAAACACAACAGCAACAACAACAACAAAAATATCCCAGGAGCAGGGCATTCCATACTCTGGGACGTTACAAAGAACTCCAGGGTAAATAAAGGGCCTACAGGCCTTTCTTGCATTGCCTGATCTCTATGTTCCTGAATCCACCATAAAGAAAACACCAAGCAAGAGCATGGGAAGATAACTAGGCTAGGAGGAAGCCACTGTTCTCCAGAAAGCATGCTGCATATTCAGCGGGTTACTGGAATAATGATTTGTAGAGGGATGAATGGATTTTTCTGGCACTGAGAAACATGATATTTGGAGAAAAAGAATCATGGCATTCCAAGGGAAGAATCTTATCCCAACTGTGAAGCATGGTGGTGGGAGCATCACAGCTTGGGCTGCTTTGCAGCCTCAGGACCACAATGGCTTGCAATCATTGAAAGAACAGTGGAATCTGGATTGTACCACCAAATTCTGCAGAAGAATACCAGAATATCTGCCTGTGGGCTGAAACTGAAATGAATGTGAGTCATGCAGCTTGAGAATGATCTTAAACATACATGTAATTCTATAAGAGAATGGTTGAAGTGGAAGAAATTTCATGTTTTCCAAAATCACCCCAATTTAAATGTTGTGGCATGATTCACTGTGAGCAATTCCTGCAGACAACCCTAATATATCAGTGAGTTGAAGCAGCTCTGTAATGAGGAATGGGCCAAAGTTCCTCCAAGCTATTATGTGGGATGGAATGTACTGAAATGATTGCTTGAAGTCACTGCTGCTAAAAGAGGTGCCACGGGTCACTAAATCTAAAGGTTCACCTACTTTCCTCAATGCAGGATGGAAAATAGTGATTCAGGCTCCTCAATAAAGACATGTCATGGTATACTATTTTCTGTGTTATTTATTTAACCCAAATCTATCTCTATTAATAGGACTAAGATGAAGTTCAGATCATACTGTAGGTCATGGTACTGCAGGTTTATGGATAGTTCTGAAGAGTTCACAGACCTTCTCTCACCACAGTGGACTTGCAATGACTTCTTGCGTTTACTATCTACAGTTTCTACCATTCTCTCATTGAGTGAGGCTCCCCAGTGGTGTGATCTGATGCGATTTATGCACAAGGATGGAATTCCATAATCAAAGATCAGGATTTCCACTTTTTGTTTGGTTCTCTGCCCTCCTCCCTGAGTTTTATTTTCATTTCAGCCCAGCCTCTCTTGCTTTTTAGTCTCTTAAATGTTCTATATTTCGAATGCTGTTTAATTCCCTCAATATGGATCCAAACAATACAATAGAAGTAATTTCTGACCTACATTAAAAGCAAATACATCAGCAACTTTAGGAAAAAAGGATCTCTCTTACTGTATATCATTCCTCTATGGGCTTTCATTGCTATCTATTCTGAATTTAAATACCTTCAATGTCTATACAGTAATTCTTGCCATCATTCTCTGAATTTGACCCAGGCAGCTTATCCACTTCAAGGGTTTTTCCAATCCTTTTTTTTTTTTTTTTTCTTAAAATCAATATTTAAGCACCTCTTCTTAAGAATTTAAAGGGCATGCCATACTCTGACTACACAATTAAATTATTTGGCTAATAGTCAGGAGAATCTGAAGTACAATGCAGACGTCAGTTTTCTGATCTCATTGAGTGAAATTTCCCCAAAGATTTCCTTACTTATTCTAAGGGTCAAAGCATAAAAGGATAGGTCTAAAAATCTAAGATATTTGTCAGAAGGGGTCATAAGAGAAAAGATGGCTAAATAAAACCATTTCACTGCAAAGCCCTCATGTTCCCAACCTTAAGTGTTATCAAAATTCTGCATAGTACAATTGAACCCTGTTCTTTCTCCAAGTTGCTGGGAGGAGGCACTCATGAACCTGTTTTCACAGAACAACCCTGTAAAGAAGTCATGGGCAACAAGTCCATCTACTCCACTGCCCATTAGTCACCCCCAGCAGAGCTGCAGTAAGCAATTATTGGAGTACAACTAGGGCAAGAGAATCATGTCTTGATCATCCCTGCTGCAACATGAAGATTAAGTTGAGAGAAACTGAAAAGCTGAAGGTCACCAAATGAGCCTGGAGGATGAACAGGGGTCTGAACTCCTATTTCCCAGGCCCCTGTCCAGAGCTCTCCCCACTTATGAGTGGCCATCAGCTGGCCTGAAGAGCAGCATCAGCAGGGTGGATGACTCACTGTTCCCCCTTCGAGATGCTGCCACCATCTCTGCTTTGGGTAAAAGATGCAAGTTACGGGAAAGCCCTGGGAGTAGATTTCGGAGGCAATCTAGATGTATCATTTTGCCTTTTGAAAACTGTGATTTGAGCATGTTTTTGTATGGATCCTCCCAAATACAGGGGCAAGCAAATCTCTTAATGGCTGAAACCCCCTTCAAGGATACCTTTAGAATAATGACAATTATTTTAATTGGATGTAGCAGCTCATAAGTTGCAGATCAGTTAAGATTTTCTGCTTTCATGAATAAGTTGTTCACTGACTTAAGGGGCATTTAAACTAAATGGTGGGCGCCTTAGCTCTGAGGCAGCGCACCTGGATTGCATGCAGATGATCCCACATTCAACTTCTAGCACCTTCAAATAATGCTGGAAAAAGTCATTGCTGAACAGCTATCCTTCATCAGCACAAGCAAAACTGGCTAGATTGACGAACAACAGAAGATACTTCCTATGTTTCTAAGCCAGAGATAACTTGGCTTCTACAAATACCTCAGTACAGCAAGATCCAGGGAAATATTGCTAAGGCAGGTGGCTCAGCAAACAAGCTACAAATAATACAATGTCCTATCCATCTCCCAGTTGCTTCCAAGCCAAACCTTTAGGGATGGGGTGAGGTTGTGAGAGGACAGGGAAAATTGTCTGGTGCCAGCTCAATTTGGTAGACAGATTCCCACTGGAAAAAGTAGCACTTACATGATTGAGAAACTTGCTTTCTTTAGTAGCCCATCCTATCTGCATCACTCCAGAAGTAATGACTGTGACTTCATAGTACCAAGCTCCAGAGTCTACACAGAAGGTACATCGGACACTTTCAAAAGATGAAGCATCACATCGGGCCTAGCAAACAAAAAATAATCATGTAAGGTCCACATGCAAACATTACACAATGGGGAGCACAGAAGGGCACATTAAAGTGCTCAGCTTCCCAACCTGTTAACCCCATATTTGTTGGGAACTACAACTCTTAACGACTGCCCTGTTTAGCAACCGCCTGAAGTTACACCGGTGCTGAAAAAGCAACTTTATGACCGGTCCTTGCAACTTATGACCTCCGTAGGATTCCCACAGTCACATGATTGAGATTCAGATGCTTCGCAACCAGCGGGCATTTATGACTGTCACAGCATCCCACAGTCATGTGACTATTTGCATGCTTCACAGCTGGATTCCTACAATCAGTCAATGGGGAAGCAGGCAGTAAAACTGCAAGTCATGGCCATGTGATATCTTGCTTAATGACTGCGTCACTTAGCAATGGAGTTGCTGGTCCCAACTGTGGTGGTTAATTGAGGACTACCTGTATCTGAAAAACTGCCATTTTCAATTTTAACAGAAACATCTGGCAATTTCTAGAGTGGACACTGGGTTTTAATGTGTGTGTAGGATGTGTGTGTGTGTGTGTGTGTACTATTATCTACTGTTCCCTAGGAATCAAATGTCAGAGTCTATGAACTGTTGTGCAGGGAGGCTTAATTTCTCACATTTATATTCCACATATTCACCCGAAAATAAGTAAGAAAAATGTGAGTACCAGGGGACATTGTGTGATATGGAGAAAATAGACAGAACTCCTCCCTCTCATAATACTAGAAGTTGGCCATAGGACTGTCAGTGGTTTGGATTGCTGCCACATGATCCCAGAAAACGACACAGCTGCTTTCAAGAATAGCAGGCAGGAGCTACTTTAGGGCCCCTCATACTCCAAACTGCTTTCCTGGAATCAAATCCAAAGCTCAGCATAGCCCTACACAGGGTTGTCAAGGATAGCTCTATGACAGGAAATTCAAGATCCCACCAAAAAGGATACCATTCATCACACAGTGAGCTCACAGACAAACTGTGGCACATGCTTCCCTAAGATGTCTGGCCTGCTCAGACAGATTTAAGCGATTTAAATGAAAAACTAAAATAAAATAATCAAATCCTGGGGCATAAAACGATCAATGTCAGTGAGGCATGATGCTATACTTTGCCACAGTGGAGAACAGATGTAGCCCAGAGTTGAATTGCTGGGTTCTTATTGCTCTGAGATATTGCTTCTCTTCCCGCAGACCTTTCATTACTAACGCACTGATGATGTTACCTAGCCTGGTAATGAAAAGTCTGCAAGAAGAGAAGCAAGTTGAGAGACAGCTCTAATTTGCCCTTAGGATCAGAGGAAATAAACCTCTCACCACCATTTGCTGCCACATTTGTGGATTTCACATATCAGATTTTATTATTCATTTTCTCTGTTGATGTTTATGCCACCTTTATTCTAAGGACCTCAAAGCAGTGTACATAACTTTCCCTCCTCAAATTTTTCCATATAACCATCACAGGTTGAGAAGAGAGTTAGTGCCTGGCTGAGAGTGGATTTGGACTAGGATCAGAGAAACCTGGGTTCAAGACCATAAGCAATACACTATACTCTGACTTTTGGGGAAACAAACTCCTGAATAGGAGTTTGGTTTGACTCAGTGATCTATATATCAGATCCTGAATGAAAGCCTTCAATCAATTTTTAAACAATGAGGAAAAATCCTGACTCAGTCTGTTCTAAAACAGGATGGTGGGTTTGATGCGACATGACGTCACTGAAGTCTGTCATCACTATATGCCTACATCTCCAAGCACTTATTAATAAAGAAGTCCCACCTCCCTTTCTCAAGCTAAGATCCATGTGGTGAGACATTCAATAAAGGATAATGTAATGTATTGTCTCCATAGAGCTACAGATCTTACTAAGCATGCCTTTATAGTTTGCACTTTCCTCCATTAATTGTAAAGAAATCTTATTTTTTAAAAAAATGCTGTTTGATTTGAATTAGAAGCAAAATAATTAAAATATACAGTATGTCTTTTAGTTCAAAGGAACTCACTCCCAGATAGGTGAGACCTCCTTGCTATTCAGGGGAATGGAGAGCACATAACAGTACCTCATAATTAATACACACACACACACACACACACACACACAAAGCTACCTCCAACCCATGTGGCGAGATCTTCAGATATTCACTGACATCGTTACTGTTCAGCATGGCCTTAATATTGGTCAAGTCAACTTTCTCATACGTAAACTGTCTACCTTCTTTCAAAACTGCAGAAAAAAAGAGAAAAGGTTATAAAGGTTGCTACAGCAATGTAGATATGTAGAAACACTGATCTAGCAAACTGAATTCAGCTGCCCAAATCCAGCGCTTAAAAATGAATCAAATATAGATCAAGTACTTTCTGAGTAAGCACCTACCCCTCCAAATGACAGGCATTCAAAGACTGAATTCTTTAGAATTTGGGCTTAACAGGAATGAGTCCACATGGTAAACGTTTGCTGCTTGTCTTCTCCTGCCAGTGAAAGCAATTAAGCAAGGCCTAACTGCTTCATCTGTGCTTTGTTTAATATTAAGTGGAAATGGGAATCCCTGTTTTTTGTTTTTTGTTTTTTAAACAAACTGGAATCATTAGCTTGCCGTACAGTTCTAGCATGTCAAAAGAAGAACAAACCAGGGACTATGATTTTTATATGTCTCTAACCAAGCTGAGGGAAGATCCATTCTCACCCCCATCAGAAGCAGCCAAGGAGGAGCCCACAAGCAGCAACACACAAGACAGTAATATACATGCTTGTTCTCCAAAATGCAACTATATATTGAATTTAAGAGTAACAGCTCTGGGTATAAACATTGGCCAGGGATGCTGTAGTTGGTATTTCTCCAGGAGGCTTAGCTCCCCTATTAAACTAGAGACAGGCTATAACAAAACCAGTGGATTTTTGCTCCTAGCAAGCTTACACATTCAATTAATACTAGATACATTTAGATGGTGGCAAGAGATTGCTCTTAATTCACCAATTAAGAAATTCAATTTAAATGGATTCTCATGAGTGAAGGACTTCATCTTCTGAATGTTGGTATTTGCTTTAGAAATGAATTAGATTATGTAATACCATCTGCATTCCAAGCAGGGCAATTAACACTGATGTCAGTGTTGTATCCTTTCCCCTCCTGAGCTGGGTCTCAAACCAGTTTGTCTTTTTTTTTTTTTTATATTACTCAATACACACACACACACACATATGCACATAGAGCCTAGAGAATCTAGCTCACAGGGTAAACGAATAGTTTAGAATATCCAATTAAAACATCTCCAATCAAAAAACTCAACTATTTACCAGTTAAAATATATAAATCCAGGCACATTTCATTAACACACTTGATTAACATAGTGTAAATTGTATCTGCCATTTTTATTGGAATTACCAACAATGGAGAACTGGATCTACAGCTAATGCCAGTACAGGTACTAAAATAAGACACTTGCAGAAATGGGAAAAATGTGCTAACTTACATGCCTCCCCCCGCTTTCGCAATGGATAATCCTGATAGATTATACTCTACAACAAAACATCCTTTCTATTCATTTATTTTCCCAATTTATATAATGCCACAAAAATTACCCCACCAATAGTATATTAGGTCTCTAACCAAGAGAATAACACACATTAAGTATAGATGCAATATGGATTTAAAAGAATTAAAATTCACAGTAGCAGTACCACATCAATGAAACTTTTGGATGAAACAGAGCAAGTGGAGAAATGCAGCTGAAGAGAATTAATTTAATTAAGTTATCAGAAATATTAAATGGTTTGGCTAAATCTCCATGGAGGACCAAGTGCCACTCAATGACTGCAGAGCCAGAAAGGCTGAGGAAGGAGGTGATATACTTCAGGCCTGCAGTCAGGCCATGCAAGGCTTGAAAAAGGTTAGACCACCCTTTAGGACTCAGCCAGAAATGTTCTGAAAGTCAATGCAGCTCTTTCAGTGCAGGACTTTACATGCCCTCATGACTCAACTTCCATAGCAAGTGGGGCTACTGCAGCTGATCCAAGTGAGTCTTATCTTTATAGACATGAAGATTAAAAGGCACTTTATTTTCAGATGTCCATAAACTAAATTCTAGACCACAGAAAGGAGCAATGAAAGAAGAAATCAATGGTAAAAGAAACATACCACTGTAGGCTTGCTTCATAAGTTTGCCCAAACAACATGGTTCTGTGGACGTCCCCTAACTACTCCTGCTAACATCTCCCACTTCCACTGGATGAGTGGGTTTGCATTCATGACAACTTGAGAAAGAGGCCAGTTTCCTGCTAATTTCCTAAAGGGAAGGCTAAATAAAGCCAATCTTTAAAAAGATATTCAACGAGTACGTTTCCACCAGTATGTTGCCTTACTTCTGCTTGGGTCATAATTTCTCTGTGTATGCCTTACTTACCTCCCTCTGTGAAAAGTGCCTCTGACAGTCTTGGACAGTCTTAAAGCCAATTTTTTACAAAAGAAAACCAAATGTTTCAGAAGAGCACCCAGATTCAATTTTTTTGCTGGTTATACAGAGATTTTGGAAAATATGCCTCTAAACTGTATCAGGTCCAGGTTCAGTGGTTCAGCTGCAGCAAGGCTCCTTCTATTGCTACACTGCTCATGCAGAAAATACTGTTTTATCCAGGAAACATTCAAACAACCGATTCTAAAAATGTATTTATTCAATCAAGAAAGCAGATCAAACATGCTTTCTAGGTCCCTGCCTGTAAAATTTGTACATGAAATGTTTATTTATTTATTGGATTTGTATTGCACCTTTCATTCAAAACAGCAAAGTGGTATATACAGCAGTTCTTCCTACTCTTTTCCCCATAAGAAGAATCCTTTTTTTTGGATATAATCTTTATTAAAAAATTTTTTTAACAAGATAAAAACCATATGGATATTAAAAAAAATAGAGTAGATAAAAGAAAAATAGTGCATAGTGAGAAAAAAAATAGAAAAAGAAATAGAAAAGAGTATAAAGAAGCAGCTTCCAATCTTCTCAACAGCAGTTACAAAAGTGTTTATATTTTACCCTCTCTAAGGTTACATCATAATTTCCTTCTTTCCATAAGCTGCCCTGTCTAATCTTCAAACCCATAAATCACAAGTTCGTTTTTCTCTTTTTTCAGCAAAAAGTCCATAAGGGGTCCTACAGTAAGAATCCTCTGAGGTGGGTTGAGAGAATGACTGCCCCCTTCTGTGGCTGTGGGGGGCCTAGAATCTGGGTCTCCCTGCTTCTAGTCCAGCACCTTCGCTACTGCTCTAAGGCTTAGAGAGTGGGAATGGCCTAAAGTCGCTCTGAGAGCTTCCATGGGTGAGGATGGATCTCCCTGCTCCTAGTCCAACACCTTCACGCACTATTCCACCCTGGCTCTCATTCTGTGGATTGTTCTCCCCTGCCACCCATCCTCTTCCTTGCTTAAGTGTAAAACATGGACAATGTAGCCCTTAA